TTGATGTTCTCTCTCATCAATGTTTCTGTCTCTCTCTCCCTTCCTCTCTCTAAAATCAATAAAGGAAAAAAAAGTGTGTGTCAGCTCTCCATCTGGGAATTCCAGAAACCTGGAATAGAATTGCTGCACATAGACATGACCCTGATGTAATGTTTGCCTGACTCTGGCGCAGCTTGTCCCATGTGTTCCCTAAATCCAGGCTGGGGCTACCCCTGGGTCCTCATCCTCTTGTTTTGTTTTGTTTTCTTCCTTTCTCTGAGGGTTTTGAGATAGGTTTTTTCAATCCTCACCGGAGGATAATTTTTCTATTGATTTTTTTTTTAGAGAATTGGAAGGGAAGGAAGAAGGAGGGAGAGAGAGAAACATCAATGTGAGAGAGACGCATCGATTAGTTGCCTCCTGCACAACCCCGACCAGGTCTGGGAATCGAACCTGAGACCCTTTGGTCTGTGGGCCAACGCTCTAACACTGGTCAGGGCAAGATAGGTATTTTTAAAATTACAAGACAGCTTTGGGGACAAAACTTACCGGTTCAGGACAACTCTTCCGGGAGGGGGCGCTCCTGGCAGAGAGAGGCACTAGGAAGACGGGATCTGATACGCAAACCGCACCCTGTGTGTGGCGGCGGCGGGAGGCAGTGGGGCGGGGCACAGGAGAGACGCAACCTGTCTCTGCTTCTCTTTCCTTTGGCGACTTCTTCACTTGAGGTGGTTTGAAGTTTACAGAAAAAGTTGCGCTCCTGTGTATCCAGCCCTAGACACGAGCATTTAGCTGCATTTGCTTTATCGGTGGTCTCTGTACCTACACATGCTTGTTATGATTTTCTGGCCGAACTGTTCAAAAGTTAAGTTGCAGAAATGATGACCTCGACCCCAAGCACTTCAGTGCTTCCTAAACGCAAGGGCCCTCTTACAGAACACAGGACAATGGTCGAAATCAGAAAATGGAACGTCGGCCCTATCCTGTCATCTGGTAGACCATCTTTCCTTTGGCTGTTTTGTTATTTTTCAGACACACAAGTATGTGATGAACTCCCATTTCCCAGCGTCAGCAGCAGACAGCCCCCCGCCCTCATTGTATGTCTGCCCTGCTCCCTGTGCGACTTGTTTTTCTGGAGTATTTTACAGCTAAGTCCTGATATTGATTCATCTGTGAAGATTCATCTGTGAGCATAAATCATTGTTCAAACCCTGGGATGGGATGTGACGTAGAATCTCTTGAGTGGGCTGTAACCAACACTTAGAAAAGAGACTAGACTATAAAATCAGAGTGCGTTGTGCAGACCAGGTGTGCCGCTGTGATGTTATTAAGTGTCTTTCTTACAGTGGCCATCGGAGGTCCTGGGTTTATTTGTTGGTGATCTGACCTTGGTTGCAGGACCCCAGAGGGGGAGACCCAGGTTCGGGAGGGTTGGGGAGACAGACAGAGGTCAGGTCCATGCTACCACCCACCTAAAAGCTCCATGTTTGGAAGTATGGGCTCTAGAGTCCAAAGTGCTGGGCTTGGCCCTGGCTGGTTTGGCTCAACAGTTAGAGCATCGGCCCACAGACCAAAGAATTGCAGGTTCAATTCCGGCCAAGGGCGCGGACCTCAGTTGCAGTTCGTCCCCGTCCCAGGTTGGGGTCGTGCGAGTGGCAACCAGTCAATGTGTCCCTCTCACGTCAATGTTTCTCTCTCTCTCTCCCTTCCACTCTGTCTTAAGATATATGTAAAAAAAAAAAAATGTATCCTCGGGTGAGGATTAACAAAACAAAACAAAATGCTGGGCTTGAGTCCTGGCCCCACCACCTGCTATCCATTTGACCTTGTGCAAGTTCACCAACCTCTCTGTGCCTCACTTTTCCCATCTGTGAGGTGGGAATACAAATGGTTCCAACCTCACAGGGCTGTAGTGAGGATTAACTGACCGTGAGTCTCTGCCAGGTGGCTCTGCCCAGGGCTGGTGCCTGTGGTTCCCACAGGCCTGGTCTTGGCTTTCTCTTCCCAGCCTCAGCCCATCTTCCCCTGACAAGGATACTCTCTCCTTAGCATCTCATCCTGCACATTAGAATCCCTCGGAGAGTTTTCAAAAGTCCCAGTGCTGCCCTGGCCAGTAGGCTCAGCAGTTAGAGCGTCGGCCCGCAGACTGAAGGGTCTTGGGTTCGATTCCAGTCACGGGCACGTACCTGGGTTGCAGGTTCGATCCCTGGCCTCAGTCGGCATACAGGAGGCAACCAATAGATGTGTCTCTCTCAATCAATGTTTCTCTGTCTCCCCCCCCCCTCACACTCTATCTGAAATGAATGGAAAAGTATCCTCAGGTGAAGATTAACAAAAAAAAATTAATAAAAATAAAAGTCCCAGTGCCAAGCTACACCCCAGGCCCACCCCAGGATGGGACCCAGGCATCCAAAAAAAATTTTTTTTTTCTTTATTGATTTTAGAAAGAGAAGAAGGGAGAGGGAGAGAGAGAAAGAGATGAGAGAACATTGATTGGCTGCCTCCTGCATGCCCCCCACTGGGGATTGGGCCCACAACCTGGGCATGTGCCCTGACCAGGAATCGAACCGGCGACCTCTTGGTGCATGGGTCAACACTCAACCACTGAGCCACACCTGCCAGGCGGCATCCAAAATTTTAAAAAGCACCCAAGTGATTCTGTGTCGGACGATGCGGTGTTTAGCGTTTCACCGGCAGGGATCATCCCCTGGGCCTTGTGGAAATGCATCTCCTACGCCTTCAGGAGGTGTGTGGGGTGGGGCCCGAGAGCCTGCACACGTTCCCCGTAGAGTGCGACCCTGGAGAACAGGCCCCGATGAGACTGATACCTCCCTTCCCTCCATCGCTGTCCTAAATCATAGCAGCTGGCCCTTGGGCTTCGCTCCTTTTCTAGCCTCATCTCTGACATCCGTTCTCACTGCTCCTTGAGGCTGCAAGTGCATCGTCCCCATTTCAAAGATGAGAAGAGTGAAGTCTAGGATGCTTAAGGAGCCTGCCTGAGGTCACAGGGCTGAGCCAGGCCCTGGTCCCAGCCAGGAGAGCTACTGCTCCAGGGCCTGCTCCTGAGTGGGACAGCTTCCTTTTGCACAAGTCTGTCCTGAATCTGTCCCCACCCATTTCTCTCTGTCTCTCCTGTCCTCGCAGGATCGGTTCTCTCTCCCACCTTCCTCAGTCTCCCCTGCTCCATCCTCTAGTGCCTGTTTCCAGTCCACCTCCTCCCTGCCCCACAAATCCAGCCTGGCTAAAACTGAAGCCTTTATCCTGGCCCCTCCTCCAAACCAGCCCCTTCTGGGGTCCCACCAGCTCCAAGCCCGTGTGTCTCCTGGACTCCCAGCGGCTTCTTTCTCCACTGCCCTGCCTCTTCGAAGTTCAGGCTCCACGTGTGTGGCCCAGAGCAGAGCTTCTCTGACCTTGACAAGCACACGGATCTGAGGGGCCCTTGTTAACATACTGATTCTGGCTCAGTGTGTCTGGGTGGGCCTGAGATGCTGCATTGCTGACAGGCTCCCAAGGGTGCTGAGGCTGCGGGCCCAGCAGCACCGCCCATGTAGTGATAGTCAGGGGGACCTGCTGTTTCCCAGGTGGCCCCTGGCCTGTGCAGATTCCTCGAATGCAGACTTGCTGCTTGGTGCTCTCAGAATAACCTCTGAACCCTGCAACCAGCCCCCAGAGCCCTCAAGGTGTAGCTCATCTTTGCTTCTCTGTGTCCTGTCCCTGCCCGGACATCCTGCCCTCTGGTTCCTCCCATAGACCATGCCCTTTTTGTCCTCTGGACCTTTGCACACTCTATTCCTGGGGCCTTCAAGGCTGTTCCCTGCTTGTCCTACTCCTGCTTACCTTTAGGGACATGTTCCTCCGGCTTCCCAGGCTGGGGCAGGAACCCTTCCTTCCCTGTTTCCCATAGGCTCACCATGCCTCTGTCAGGTCCAGTTGGCATGCCTGTCTCCCCTGCTAGTCTGAACAGCCTGGATTCAGAGCCTTGAAGGCCCTTGTGGGGTGGGCCCCAGCTGGGGGTCAGGACAGACCCAGGTTTGAATCCTAGCTCCACTCTCATTGTAAGCTGTGTGGCCTCAGGCAGGGGACACCACCTCTCTGAGCCTTGATTTCCACATCTGTAAACAGGGGGCAGTAATAGCGCCTCACAGGGTTGTTGCTGAGGACGGAGTGTCAAGAATACACATGTGCTTGAGCACGGTCAGCTGCTACGCCTCAGCTGATCACTCGCCACTAAGGACGCATCATTGGCCCTGGCCGGTTTGGCTCAGCAGTTAGTGCATTGGCCTGCGGTCCAGAGAGACCGGGTTCCGTTCCCACTAAGGGCACGTACCTCGGTTGCAGTTTGTCCCCGGCCCTGGTTGGTCATGCGGGTGGCAGCCACTCGATGTGTCCCTTTCACGTCGATGTTTCTCTCTCTCTCTCTCTTCCTCTCTCTCCCTCCCACTCTATCTGAACAAAAAAATGGAAAAATGTCCTTGGGTGAGGATAAAAAAAAAAAAAAGGATGCATCACTGCGGGAAGATCGTGGGAACACTGGTTGGGACCATTTTAATGCTCATGGATGGGGACTCGCACCCCTTACAGCTTAATCTGTCCGATTTGGAAAGAATCTGCACTTTAAAAGAGGGACCCATCGTGGTGGGCCAGCGTTGGGCCACCCCTGAAGCTGGCGGAGGGTCCCCACATTGTGAAGTCAGCCAGCACCTGTGGCCCCTGAAAGGCAAGGCCAGGTGGTGTGGGTTCCACATCGTCAGTTCCCCGACCACGCCCTCACTGTCAACTTTACCCGAGAGCGCAGCCAGCCTCCAGTATGTTTAGCTCTGAGGCGCCTGAAAGTTTTTTCCACCAGCACCGACTCGAGTTTTGAGCAAATTCAGCCCCGAGGTAGTCAGCAGGCACCACAACCTGGAGGCCTCGCTTTCTCTCCCCGCTGCTTCCTGTTGTGCACCCGGTGGGGGTGGGGACGGGGGGCGGGGGCCTGGCCACACGTGGTCAATACAAACAAGCCTCTCCTTTCTCCGCAGGCTGCAGGGGTGCTGCCAACATGGGGCTTAAGCTGTCCTGTCTGAAAGGTAAGGTGCGGCTCTCCTTCACCCGCTCTGTGGGGAGGGCGGGGGTAAGCAAAGGAATGAGGCAGGAGAGGGTGGGACCCTAGTGTTGCTGTCCTGGAGAGGGAGGGGACCCTCCCACCTAAGGCAGCGCCTGTACACAGTAGGCACCCTATAAATGCTCTGCCTCTGAGGGCTCTCCAGACCTGCCCTTTCAATGGCAGCTGAGTGGCGCGGGAACGTTGCAGCGCCCCCTAGGCCTCAGTTTCCTTCTCACAGGGATCCATCCCAGGCTGTGGAGAGTAAGGGAGTAAGAGGCTCCACACTAGGTGCCAGGCACACAGGGTATTTGCTCTCCACCCTGCTGGCCTGTTATCACTTAGATAACAGCTTCGGGCCTGCCAGAGGCCGGGGAAAGCAAGCTGGGAGAGGGGAGAGAGTTCTAGAAGGACACAGAATCACTGAGAAGTGTTGGCAGAGGCAGCCCAGACCTCTGTCCTGTGCTCTAGACCTTTCTGTTCAGAGTCTGGATGACCGGGGGGCGCCCAGACTCATATGGCCCACATGGAGACCTCCCCTCAAAGCCCGTTCATTATTCCGTAGCAAATGCTTCCACCCAGCTAGGAATCTGGGAGTCTCCCTGGACGGGCCCTCGCCCACATGCAGCATGCTCACCAGCCCGACTCTGCTCCTGGATGTCTGGGGCCTGATCCTGGCTTTGTCCTTCCACCACCGGGAGTCAGGAGGCACGGGAAGGGCAGGCCGGGGTGACGGACCATCATTCAGGTTCCATTCCTTCGGGTCCCACAGTTAGGATGAGTGAGCTCCAGGAGAGCCTCTGGTCAGTTCAGTTCAGGGCTTATGCCTGTCCCCCCGTGTGGGATGGGGCAGCCTGAGGGACAGCTCCTCCGGGACCACATGCAAGTAGGGAGCAGTGGTTCCCCTGGAGAAAATCAGGGTGTTGCTTGCAACATGGGCATGGGTGCTAAGGAGACCCAAACAGTCCACCACCCTCTAGGGCCTGGTCCCTCGGAGGCTCCAGGCTGAGCCCAGGCAGGAGTTCGGGGAGGTGTTTGTTGAGTGAGTACCTATGGGGGGCAGAGGTCCAGAGGTTGGGATCAGAGACCAAACCTTCGAGTTCTGGGACCCTCTTCTTCGGACTTCACTCCGGATCTCTCCAGTGCCCGGCACAGAGTAGGTGGTTGGGACAAGCCGTTTGTTCTGGTTTTTACTGGGGTAAGATACACGTAGCATAAAGGGGAGCACTGTACCTAAGTGCGCGGGGCAGCGGCACTGAGCACATTTGCACTATTGTGCGACCATCACTGTCCCCTTTGAAAACAAACTCCCTGTCCCCCCTGCCCCAACCCCCGGCGCCCACTGTCCTACTTCTTGTCTCGGGATTGACTGCTCTGGGGACCTCATGTAAGTGGAACCATGCAGTAGTTCTCTTTCTTGTAACTGGCTCATTTCCCTGAGCGTAATGTCCTCGAGGCCCATCTGTGTTGGAGCCGGTGTCTGCCTTGCCTTTGTCAGGCTGAGTGACACCCCTCCGTGTGTGTAGACCACGTTTCGTTGATCCATTCATCCCTCCACGGGCACCAGGCTGCTGTGTCGGGACATCTTTGACAAAAAACAAGCCCCTTAAGGGACCTCTGGGGCAACGTGGAGATACCCAGGAGCTGCAGGTGCTGAGAGTCCCTGGGAGATTACCCCCACCCGCCACCCCCCATGACTGAGAGTCTGAGCAGCAGGCTGAGTGCCCCTGGGCCGCGAGCTCCTGAAAGGGCCTCCTTCCGGGCCGGGCCCTGGAGGAGCTAAGTGCCGGAACTGAGCCCGAAGTACCAGGCAGGTTTGCTCATACATTTTTCATTGCCAGCTCTCTGGGGCCAGCCCACCGCCCGGCCCTCCCCCCAGCCTTGGCAACACAGGCTTGGGTGTGCCTGGGGCGGGCAGAGCGTGGAACCCCTCTCTCTGTGCTAAACCCAGACGACCCAGGCCCGCCAGCCCTACGCCCCAGCGCCCTCTGCAGAGGCTTATTTTCACTTTTCTCATTAGGAATTTGTCGCATTCAAGGAAACCTCAGCACAGGGGACACCCTGCAGCCCTGTAACCCTCCCGGTTGTCCGTGTGCCTTCTCGTCCCTGGTTCTTAGGTGCTGCCTGGTGCCGGGCGCAGCAGGCGGGTTCTGTGCGCGTCTTTTACTCCCAGTTACTGTCTCAGCGTCCTGCTGTCTTTCCTGAGGTGGTACCGTTCTCACGGGGCTTCGGTGCCTCTCTCAGGTTCTGTCAAGAGTTGGTTTTTGGGTTGTTTCCAACGTGTCGCTTTTGTAGATAATGCCACTTTAAACGTCTTTGCTTCTGGAATTTTTAAAAATGGTTATTTCTTTGGAATGAGGTCCAGCGATCAGGAAGCAGGTCAGATAATTAGGGTAAATGGTGAATTCTTGCTGGGGGGCTTCGCCTGGGCAGGGCCCTGTTCTCTGCATTCTGTGCGAGCCACTAACTCATCCCCGCCCTTCTCCATCGCTGGGTGGATTTGTTGTGATTTTCAGTTTCCAGATGAGGGAGCTGAGGCACAGAGAGGCAGTGCAGTTTGCCTGGGGCCACATACTGGGGCCCGTGTGGGGTTTGAACCCAGGGAGGTTGGCCCCAGAGGCCTGGCTTTAACCACCATCCTTACAGCTTTTTCAGAGGAAAACATTTTTTTATAATTTTTTTTTCTTTATTGATTTTAGAGAGAGAAGAAGGGAGAGGGAGAGAGAGATGGAAACATCAGTGAACCAGGCCAATGTGGCTCAGTGGATTGAGCGTCGACCCATGGACTGAGAGGTCTCAGTTCGATTCCAGGTCAGGACACAAGCCCAGGTTGCGGGCTTCATACCCTGTGGGGGTTGTGCAGGAGGCAGCTGATCCATGTTTCTCTTTCACATCGTTGTTTCTATCTCTTTCTCCCTTCTTCTTGCTCTAAAATATCAATAAAAAACATATTAAAAAAAAAAAAAAAAACCTTTGAGAGAAAATAAAATAATAAAGCTTTTAAAAACAAAAAAAGAAACATCAATGAACAGAACATCGATTGGCTGCCTCCTGCATGCCCTCTACTGGGGATTTGGCCCACAACCTGGGCACATGCCCTGACCAGGAATCGAACCGGCGACCACTTGGTGCATGGGTCGATGCTCAACCACTCAGCCACACCAGGAGGGCCTGAGGAAAACATTTTTTTAATTTATTTTTTCATCCTCACCCGAGGACATTTTTCCATTTTTTGTTCAGATAGAGTGGGAGGGAGAGAATGGAAGAGAAAGAGAGAGAGAGAAACATCGACGTGAAAGGGACACATCGAGTGGCTGCCACCCACATGACCAACCAGGGCCGGGTACAAACTGCAACCGAGGTACGCGCCCTTAGTGGGAACCGAACCCGGGTCTTTCTGGACCGCAGGCCGACACTCTAACCACTGAGCAGAACCGGCCAGGACCAGAGGTAAACATTTTAATTTGACCTTTAAAGTAGCCACTGCAACCAGAAACTATCCACACAAGCTCTTTTTTTGTTTGTTTGTTTATTGTGGTACGTGCCCCTAGCGGGAACCGAACCCGGGACTCTCCAGTCCGCAGGCTAATGCTCCAACCACTGAGCCAAACTGGCCAGGGCCACACAAGCTCTTAAATCTTTACATTAACCCTGTAAGATGGTGTCTCAGTGTCCTGGGGCCGCCGTCACGTGGCTACAAACTAGGGTGGGAGTTGCTTAAAACAACGGAAATGTATTCACTCCCAGTCTGGAGGCTAGCAGTCCTAAATCAAGGTGTCACAGGGCCGTGCTTCCTTTGAAGGCACTTGGGGAGGATCCTTCCTGCCTCTTCTGGCTCTAGGGGGCTCCAGGCGTCCGTTGGCTTGTGGCCGCATCACCCCAGTCTCTGCCTTTGTCCCCACGTGACCTTCTCCCCTGTCTCTGGGTCCTTCCTCTTACAAAGACACCAGTCTTGAGACTTAGAACCAGTATCAAATCCAAGATGATCTCATCGCCAGATCCTTAACTAACGACATTTGCAAAGACCTTATTCCCAAATACGGTCACATTCCGAGGTCCTGGAAGGACTTGAATTTTGAATTTGGGGGGAACTCGGTTCAACCCACTACAAGTCGCTTTGCCTCTGAGCCTCCTGTGTGTGGGACAGGAATATGCTTCTGACTGGCAGTCAAGACTTAGCTGAGATGGGGGATCATGAGAGGGACATTAGAGAGAGGGATACAATTATGCCTAAATCTTTCTGTGTCTGGTTCCAAAGGAGAGTGGGCACAGCGGGGCACTTTAAGTGGGGTCCCTGTGCTCAGGGGCCTGGCCGTAGCAGCTGTGACATATAGGGACGTTCCATTGTCCAAGAGCACCTCCCTGTGTCCTCTCCCATACAGGCTGGCGTGTGCTGGGTGAGCATCCGTGTGAACCTGGTACTGCTCCCTAAGCATGTGCCCCCAATACACCCATGTCATCCTTATGCAGCTGGACGACGTAGGTAACTTTACAGACAGGGAGACCGAGGCAGAGGGGAGCTCTCACTGGCTCAAGGTCACATGGCCTGTCAGGAGGGGCTTGGTTCCACAGATGGCAGGGAGAGGTGGTGGTTTCCCTGGTTTGTAAGCACGTTCTCTACGGGTCAGCAGTGGGTGGCACTGCCCAGGACACAGCATGGTGGGCCGTGTGGTTCTCAATGGGCTCCTCAGACTTGCACTCTGAGCATCACCTGGGAACTAGTCAGATGTATGAATTCTCAGGACCCACCTGGTCCTACTGAGTCCAAAGCTCTGGAGGTTGTTAACAAACAATCCCTAGGGGGATCCTGGTGCCCACTCAAGTTTGAGAACCAAAGTGGCTCAGGGGTCAGAGAGATCTGAGTTCAAATGCCATTCTGCCCCTGACTAACTGCAGCCCTGTGCAACTCACTTCAGATACCCAAGCCTCAGTTTCCCCATCTGTAACATGGGAACATCTCCAGGGCCAGGTTTCAAGAGAGAGCTG